ACAAACATTGCAAACAAACGACGTCTCTGCTTTTCTAGCTAGACTTGGTGGAGGTTTCGCATTAAGTGTTGTCAATGTAGAAGCGATGGTCGTTTTGTACGATTCACTGCGTGGCTTGTCAATAGGAAATATTGATTTTCTATTAGATGGTATTGATTTTAAGGAATCAGAAGGGGGCTTTGATGAAGATTGTANCACAGTTGGTGCGACATTTTTACAGTTCTGTTGTCCCGTTGGTAATACCGACCGTCGAGCTATTTTACGAGCTGGGCTGTTTAATGTGGTCTTAACCAATACAGACATACGATGAGTGAACGCGAAAGGACGCTTTTCTGGTAGTGATTTGGCAGTTGTTGGTAGGATTGAAGAACGTCCCTTCGAGTTACATGAAATGGACTTACGTTTATCCAATACAGAAGAAGTTTTGGTTTTATCATTTATTACAGTTGTAGGTTCAGTGAATTTCAAAACCTTATTCAACAATTTGGGTATTTCTGAATTTATCTCTTTGTCTAAATTCGTCTTAGTAGCAAAATTGTTGAAAGAAAATCGCTTACTTGCTGCATTTGTGACAATTCTCGATGGACGATTAGTTAAAAGATTGGGCTCACAAAGAGATTTCTTTGCCATTGATTGGCGTTTGTTGAAATCTGCTGCTTGCACTGCAAATTAGTAAATAAAATAATAAAAAATATTTGTGATTTATGTCAACCTAAATGAGTTTTTAGGCTTAGATAATTAAAATAAATATTTTCCCTGCTGAATCATTTACCTTTACTTTCCACTGCAGCTTTAATGGTTTGATCGTCGGTATTTTTTGGAGTTTCATCGTCTTCGGTATTTGCAATTTCAGTAGTTTTCGATGTTTCACATTCTGTTTTTGCACTTTCAGCATCTGAATTTAGAGTACGTACTTCGAGTATTTGTACCTTTTCTTCTTTAGGTAAAGTAGGAATTTCTTCATTACTTTTAACAGATAGTAATGCTACTTCATTAAGAGGTAAGGTATTTTCTTTATTCTTAACATGGTCATTCTCAATTTTCTCATCCATATCCATAAAAGCCAATTTCATATCAAAACATCTTTCGGCGCTCGACCCACGATTTACTTCCACGCTGCGTAACAGTTGTTCCTTTGTTGGTGTCGAGCTGGCAATGTTAAAGTCTTGGAGTACTCTCTTTGGTATAGCAGACAGCTGCGAATGTGTGTCCATATCCTTCACAGAATCAAGGTAGTTTAAGTGTGAATTGATTGCCTCCAATGTACTATTTTGATTCAGATCTTGAGAATTTTCCACTGTTTCCTCCTCATGGTCCATGTTAGATAAAATCGAAAGATTATCTGTGGTCGCTTCTAGAGTCTTGTAAGCAGCACTGGAAATGCTCGAATCGAACGACAAATACATAGAAACACCCGTAGTATTTGCTTCACTATAAGTTTGTCTGGATACGTCCATTTTGTACTTTCTAATTCACTCGCTTAGTTTATATTTCGACAAATGTGTCCACAATACTTAAAAACAGACGCGGGAACACTAAATTGTTTTCTTCTGTGCTAAATTTATTTATTTTATTCAAAGTCCGCTTGGAAGGCACTCAATATTTTTCCTTTCGGTTTTTGTCAAAGCGTTATTTTTGAAA